ACCTGTCATCGCATTTACTCGGGCATTTAAATATAATTTGTCGAACAAATAACAGTAAACTGTAAAATAGACTTTTTGGTGAAATAAATGGCGATTTTCCATTGCTGGAAAGGAAAAGTGTCGGTATTTATGAGTCTCATGCCACTGACCAGTGGCATTCTGCCTGTTGTCATTTGATACATTCTTTTCCCCTCTTTCCTGTTCTTTAATTCCATAGAAACTTTCCTCATCACTGCTTTTTACTATTCAGAGACTCTTTCGTAATATTTCTTCAAATTTAAGTTATTTTAGAAATTTCTTGTCATTTCTCGCAGAATTTCTTCATACCTAGAGAAAGTAATCTAGAGAAAGCTCTTTCGCACTTCCTTAAGTTTTCAGTTTTCGACAGAGTCCATGACAGAATCAGGTTTAGCTTTTGAATACTATTCGAAATATATGATTGAATTGTTAATCTGGAGAATATTTAGGTTCATTATTATATTACAAATATTTTCTTATTAATTCTAAGGCTTTAATTTAATTATTAAGGCGATATTATTCACAGAGTGCTGAAATTCCTCATGATACTTTTCGAATCTTTTTTCGGATCACTTTCATAACACTTTTTTTAGTAATTTATGCCTCATTCGTTATTTCTGTATATGTGTTTATCTTTTAAAAATTGGAGATGTATTTTATTGCAGAGTTCGGTTAGCGGAGGAAGGAATTCGTGTGCACTAGTCACCACGATTCTACTGGCTGAGAAACGCGGCAGTTGGTGAGAGTGAAATTCATCTGGTTACCAAACAACTCAAACTGAAATAATTTAGCCTTATCATCTCGAAACTGTTCAAACAAAATCAACATTACGAGGTTTGCATGAAAATTATATATCATCACTCACAAATTTAAAATTTTTGTAATGGTTATTGCTTTCGGTTATTTACAGAATGACATGGAGAAAAGGACCACACCACATGGTAAACTTCTCTCCGCAATTTTTTTGCGCTTCAGAAGTTTTGTTTTTTTTTTCTAACTTGGGAATTGACGAAATAGATAAATGAAAATGACTGCAAGATGAAGGAATGATGCTTTGTATAGGTGGCTAAAAGAAGAAAGGAAAACAAAGCATTCAGCATAACTGAAGGAAATTCTAATTTCAAGCGTTAGCGCAGAATGAAATATTTGGAAACAGAATTTTAAAACATGGCTCGAGTGGTGTATAGAATAAATATATTACTACAAATTCCTGGCTCAGGACAGTATTTTACTACGATAACGAATAACATGGATGATTTATTGGAATCCTCTGATTTCCTATTTTTGTTTCAGTTCAAAGCTGAGAAAAAAATCGTTACATTAACGCTTTTGATTACTTAGCAAAGTGCTTCATTAGCGAAAACGTAATTTGAGTGAGTAGTAGTGTTCAATGTTGTTGATTTTCCTGTTTTGATTTTAATTCTGTTTTCATCATGTTTCATAATAGGACTATAGAGAATTGTTGCCTTTCTGCCCGCCCTAAAGTGGATTAACCAAACTTGCTATCTCGAGAGCAACTTGATAACAACTTCTGAAGACTTTCCCAGACGAACCTCAACAGGATGAATCGTAATTTTTGTAAGGAAGAAATGGCGGATTAAAAAGAAATAATTTTGGGGAAGAAGAAATGAATAGAAAACTTCACACTATGAGCTGTTCATCACATAAGATTTGAAATGTTTGCCGGTCATTTTTTAATTTCTGCTGCTGTACATGCGGCCAGTAGTTTTTGATCATTAGCTGGTATACTTTTCGAGAATTTCACTTTTCATTCTTCAGATGATTTGTGTGTTCGTTATGAGTAATTCTTTTGTGATGTCATTGAAATAAGAGAAAGCTGTATTAGCATGGAAACAATGACACCGCAACCTTTTTCTAAAAAGTTAAGGAATTAGTGCTTCTTGCATGTGATGTATTTAGCATTTCCGTATGTGGTTGAAAATTATGCGAAAAAACTAACTAATCATTGTTTGAAGGGGACTATAAATTTTCATTGTTTATGCTAAAATTAAAATGTTCTTTAAAATGGAAAAAAATGGAGAACACATACACATTGCAAACTGTGTGTTGGTTTTGAGCAATAAATGTAGAAGTTAACGCCCAAGAAGGCGCCTACTTTAAAATTAATGTACTGAATTTTGAATGGTTTGGAATTCACCTATTTATTGTGTTAATTTGTTTTGTTTTGGATTAGCTATCGAATTGGACGTAATGCATTCATTTGCTTCTCTGATCTATTAATTTAGTTACTTTGGCAAAAACAGTTGGAGATGGTGCATATGTAATATGAATTCCTTTTGATTTCTCGTATTCATTTGAACAGTTAGTATATAGATTCTGGAAGGTTCAGGAAATTCTCTGAATCTTTGGAATCTTTTATTGTTATGATAAAAATCGAAACTTAGCTGAGTAAAAACTTGCCGGAGGAATATGCATGTTGAATAGGAAGTAAGAAAACTAATTCGAAAGTTTTGCGTTGGAAAATTTGGGAAATTTTGGTAATAACGGCAATAAAAATGGATTGATTTAGTCACACCATTGTTGATATTGATAATGGTGATGAAGGCCGTGTTCCCTCGTTCTTTTCTTGAAATAACGCTTCGAATTTTGGAATGAACTTTGGCCTTCTTAGTAGGAGCATTCTAAATCACTTCGTGATATAAGTACGTTTGATGTTGTCTTGGGGATGCTTAATAAAGTGTTCATTACTTTTCATGTTCATTCACATTACTTCTTTTCGAATTTGGGAAAATCAAAGAACTTAATTTTAAGGAGCTACAGCTTTCAGGTATACAACCTGCTCAATTATTCAGTCAAATCAGCAACAGCAGTTTATCTCCCAATTCTCTACCTCGCGTGTCATTCCTTATATCTGTGCACGCGTTTCACGTCAGGAAACAGCATTTCGATAGTGTTGTTGCAGAAAAAGGAAACAAAAAGAAGTTTGTATCTTCCAGCTCATCTATAGTTTATTTCAAAATCACACAGGCATCCATATTTTAATCGTTGACTTAGTTGCTATCCTGAAGAATATTTGAAGGATTTTGGATTGAGGAGAATAACGCAATGTTTTATTTCGACGAGGATCATATGGAAAATGGTTTCGGTAAGATAATCTTTTTCAAAATAAAATAAATGATATATAGTTGCAATACATTACTGTATCAAAATTAGTTTCTAAGTATAATTGGTAGGTACAGTTGCGAATTACAGTATCTTCCCCTGGCGTCAAAGATGTTTGATGACCAATCTGTATCTAAATATATAGCTGAGAAGAATCCAAAATTTCGATAATTAGCGTATTCGAGTTATTGTTCTGTTCCTTTTGGAGAAATTTAAAAGCAACATACACTTCGCATTCTGCATTATCTATCATTATTTGCATATCTATTAGTAATACTTAGTCAGCTTTCATCCAAATTTGTACATTACCTTTGAAACCGAATTAGCGTCTTGTGGTATTATTGCGAATAGTAAACTCTGTTCTATCTCGCCACATACAAAGTCATCTTATAAAGAATAGAGAGGAAAAGACAATGTTTTGATGAATAACAACTTCATGTTGCGGGAGGGGGAGAAAAGGGCAAGAATTTTTTCAGGAATATCGTATGTTGGGGCAGCAATTTTAAGCACATCGGTTCAGAACAGAGATTTTTTTTATGAAAAGAAAATGAGAAGCAAGAGAAAAGATCCTGTAATGGTCGGCCGGTTAAGTGGTACTGTTGGGCTGCTGAATCGTAGTTGAATTTCCTCCCTGTATCATTGCGAGGGGACTTCGGAGAAAAACATTGTTAGAAAATGCCTTTTGCTCTACAGTCGGAAAACTGTACGAGGAAAAAAATGTGCATCGCGTTGAAATTTTCGTGTGATGTAATGCGTTGCTGTGCCGTATCAATTTTCCTTCTCTTTTGGACATCCCAATTTATATTCGCTAATTTTTGTCGATTCTGTGAAATAGTTTTGTTACTAAAAAGTAATATGATAAGAAGTGTTTTGTATAAAATCTGTACAGAAATCCTTCCTTCTAGTCTTTTATGGCGTAGGTACTATTTTCGTTTTGATTACTTGATTTAATTCACATTTCACGTTGTTTCCTTCCGAGTTTTGTTCAGTTTTTTTATTTGTTTTCAGACCATTCTATTAATTTTGTCTTTTCACTTCTAAAGTTTTTATAGGAAAAAGTAACTGAGCATGTCTGGAACTTCTCTTTCGCAGTGATGCAAAAGCCCTAGTGATTTATTCTCAAAACGCATCTCATGTTGACATTATCTGTAGCTATCTTTTGTCATTCTCCTATCATCCTTTGGATCTTGAGAGCTGAGTTATTTTTGGTTAAAATTAACAAAGGGTTTCAAGTTTTGATTTATTAAAAACATATTAAAAAGCAGATATAAGCCGATAATTTGCCTTCACCGTGCAAGTAAGCTACTCGAAGTATTCGAAAGATGGATTAATTAATATTAGAGTGTCATTTGGATATTTCCTATCTCTTACATCACAAGGTAGAATTTCATAGTTCCTAACCTTTGAATCTCAGTTTCGATATATAAAGTGGTTAACGCTAACATTATTTCTGAAAGGAGTTTAATGAGCTAGCTGTTGTTGATTATCTGATTACACAACTAAGATTTGATGATTTGGTTCTTGTTTCTGGATTCTGAGGATCTACTAATGTTGCTTTCTTAATAATAGTGATTGCAATAATATTACGTGATATATTAGATTATATTTGCACTTAAATTAACTAAAAGATAATGAAATGAAAATTTAAGTTTAGAAGTTTAATAGAATGAAAATTAAGGGACATACTGCTGATACTGGTAGTACTTGTATGGGGAACTGGATCAACTAGAACTGGTTGTGCACATCATGAATAGTAAAACTAACACCGTTGCTTCAGTAATAGTATTTACTGTGGGGAAGTACTAGAACATGATTTTTCAACTTCATCGGCAATATTTTTTTTCATGCATATCTTCGGAATGACATCTTCATCGGCTCTCATCTGTTAGTTTCCTTCGATTCTGCTATTTGATTTTTATTTTTACATTAAATATTTCAATATTTCAAAACTTAAATAGTTTTATTTAAAAATGTTTACAGTAGTTCAAATTTGAAATTCTGTGTTATGATTGTTCAAATTCAATCATCATGCATAATGTCGTATTGTTTAAATCCTATTAGAGAGTTGTTATTTCCCTGTGATTTTGTGGCGGTGAAGAGGAAGGATCAGTAATCGCAAAAAATAGGGCACAGATATTATTTATGGAGAGCGTGTTAGGTGTGGGCACAGAAAGAGATGCTGTTATAAGAATCATTGAGCTGGTTATCGTTTGTAGTGGTTATGTTTGTGATAACGATTCGATATAGATAATCGTCATTTTTACCATCTTCATGCACATTACTTCTTTTACTTTGCTTTTCCACACTTCTACGATTGCAACTGGACACCTGCAACTATCGAATGTTGCACATTATGTTTTATTTCATTGCTTGTTTTAAATTTTCTCTCTCTTAAATTTCTATTGATTTATCGAAACAATTTCTGCATCTTTTGTTACGGGATGTGAGTTTGTAATATGGTATAAAAAGTAGAAAGAGAAAATTAGGAGTGGAAGGAGGTGAATTTGCTATAGCAAACTGCGTTTGTTACAACAGTTTGTGACGTGTTTTGGGGAAAACTGGGGAAGGAGCAGAGCAATGGGCAATTGGTGGGAATGGTTCTGAATTATTAGATTTTTAGATAAGGTAGATAATAAGAGATTCATTTGGTAACAGTGAAGCAGAGAGTTTTATACTTCTGAATTTTGCACATCTCTGATTTATTTCTTTTAAGACCTTCTTTAAAATAATTCTCGACATTTGTCCATTTTTTTGTTTGTTGATGAATAGGAGCCAGTTGAATTTCCGAAATTTTGAAATTAGGAACTATTCATGTGTAGTCATCGATAAAGCTGCATTTGTTGTCGGACAAAACTTTGATTGATTAGTTCATTTAAAACGATGTGAAGTGGAGAACAAAGATTTTCTGGATGTACTGTCACAAATTGAGTTTCTCTTAGGATCACAAAATCAAAGTTTGAAGCTTTTTCCTTATAAACATGCTTTATAAATTCAGATAAGACGTTTTTATTTCACTATATTTAATAAGAAAATATCATAGGAACTGTCGTTTTTTTGAATTTTCCCTTATTCCAGACGCACCCTTAATATCGGAGAACGAAAAGGAGCAACGGGCCGGCGAAACACTCCATCGACAGAGTCGGCGACGGCAAGAGCAAGTTGGGAGTGAAGCACAGAAACCGACCGGCAGACATCCACAAAATAGCAAAGAGTGGCAGCGAGCAAAGAATTCGGGTAAGCAACATGAATGAAGAAAGCTCTGGGTCTGGATCAAAATTTTGCTGAAAAGGCTCTTACCATTACAATTACATGCTATGAATATAGAAATTTTGATAAACGGAATCCAATCATATTGAATAAATTGGAAATTTGTTTTCCTAAGTCGTATCTCGGATCATATTATCGTGTTTCCAGTAAACGGGAAAGTTGACGCTTTCTGATGTTAGAAATGACTAATACAAAAGATGAAGTATGAAGAGGAAATAACTTCTTTATTCAAAGAAACTGAATATGTTGAAGGTTTATCCGACTCTTCATGAATCATGAAATATTAAATTTATAGGTATGTCGGCGAACCATTTCTAATTCAGCCTTGAAAGAATTTTTATATGAGAAGGGAATTAAGGTATAGAAAATATAAAGTTCAACGTTACAACTATTGATCGGGACTTTTTCAGGTTCCACAACGACATCATCCACAGGAAGCTACGGCGGTGGTCGTTGTTCTTCGGAGGCAACGACAGGAAGTTCACCTCGCGAGTAAATTTTTTTTAATTCTAAATCATTGTTAAATTCAAAGTCAATTTGAATGAAACTGATAATAATAAAAAAATCTTTGTGCACAGTTTTTTTATCGTGACATTATCATAGCTTTTTTTAAATTTTTTTAAACGAATTTTTTAAGCTTTATTTCGGGTCGCTTTTCGGATCATCCTATAGAGAGTGAATTCGATGGTTTGAGTGATGGAAAATCGGAATCCGAAGAACAGCCTGCCGAACTTGTTCCATTAGGCATGCGCACCTATAGCTTGTCTGGTTGCAAAGCGCGTTATCGTAAAAAGGCTCGAAGTCATTTTGCAGGTTTTATATCTCATTCTTTAAGAAATTTTTCGTTGTTTTTATTACATGATACAAAACATACGGATTACAGTAACAATCCATTACTGTCGGAAAGGCTGTGAAAATATTTAAAATTAAAATAAATTTGGCTACGGCTGTTGATATTTCGCGTTCAGCTAATAAAAGAAAAAGAGAAGGAATAAAAGAGTTTACGAGAATCCCTGTAAGTATATGATACGATTCAGATATCCAAAATCAAGAATACTTTCAGATTTCTACAAGCTAGTGGATGATCATCTTGGATCGGGAGCATATGCAAGTGTTAAAACGGGTATCTCACTCGCAACTGGTAAAGAATTCGCTATTAAACTGATTGATAAACATGAAGCGGGTCATACACGCTCACGCGTTATGCATGAAGTTGAAACATTTAATCTATGCAAAAATCATCCAAACATCGTACAGCTTCATGAGGTGCTTTGATTTTATGATTCTGTTATCATAACAACTGAATTATTTCTATGAAATTCAATAGTATCAATAGTTTATTCAAAGTTCTTCATATTCTTCTGGTTTCAAATTACATTTGAATACGCTAGTATCTCCGTATATCGGTGCTATTTGTACTCCTTGCTATTTCATTTTATTCGAAATTCCTTCAAATTAAAATTCACAGCGCAGTTCTGAACGTCAATCTATTCAAAATCTATTAAATGAGTCATTTCTAGTGGTTCGAAGACCATGACCGATTTTATCTGGTGTTCGAAAAAATGCGCGGTGGTCCGCTCCTCGATCATATTCAGCGCAAGAAGTTTTTTACAGAACAAGAAGCGAGCAAAGTAACAAAAGACATTGCTACAGCTCTCAAATTTTTACATGATCGAGGTGAAAAATTAAGGCTCCAAATTGATCCGAACGCCAAATAATTTTTACATGATTACTTTTTTTTGAAGTCTTGTTTTCTGAGCTTAATAAAATTTAGCTGAAATAAATGTGAATTGTAGACGAACAACAAAAATTATGAAAAATTTTCATGTATTTGTTTTAAATTTTAAATCAGACGTTTTTGGAAGAATTAATATTCGAAAGTCTTGCTTTATAATTCTCAATTTCTAATCTTAATATGTGATGCATTTGGTCCTAATTTCAGGAATTGCACATCGCGATGTGAAGCCAGAAAATGTATTGTGTTCAGACATCGATCGCGTAAGCCCTGTGAAACTATGTGATCTCGATCTTGCAAGTAAAGCAAGTCCTCCATCTCCACCGCGACTAACGAATGTCAACAGTGAGCCAGATTTAGCAAGCCCTGTAGGAAGTGCGGAATTTATGGCTCCGGAGGTTTGCTCACGATTTTACTGCAGTCAAAGAAAAATAGTGTAAATATGAAAGATTTTTGTCATTGCAAATTTCCAGCTAGCGTTCTTAGGGTAACTTTGTTTGTCACGCTATCTTTAACTGCAAAAATTTTGGAAATAGATTAATTTTATGGTTTTAGGTAGTGGATGCTTTTGTTGGTGATGCACTTAAATACGATAAGCGCTGCGATATGTGGTCACTTGGTATTATTGTTTACATCATGATTTGTGGTTATCCACCGTTTTATGGGGAATGTTGGCGTGAAAACTGTGGCTGGGATCAAGGTTTGTTTTTTTTTTCAATTTTCCATGTTTCAGCTAGCATATTGGAAAGCCATATTTTCGTAGAAACGTTATTGATGAGAAAGATTTAGCACATACTTCTTCGTACGTCCGAAGAAGTTCTCAGAATTTGACCGCTTTCGCAATTATAGCTGATTGCAACTCAGCCGTGTGACGTTATGACTTGCTTCAGGCCTAGCTTGTAACGACTGTCAGGAAAGCTTATTCAAACGCATCCAACGGGGTCAGTTCGACTTTCCAGCGCCGGAATGGGAGAACGTAAGTGAGGAAGCCAAGGATCTCATATGCCATCTGCTGGTATCCTTTTTTGGATGAAACTATGCCACTCTTTAATTACCCAGCAAATGGATCGGAATTTTTTGTATCGAAGTTTTCAACTATTTCTTTTTATTTAGGTTAAGAACGTGCGTCAGCGTTTCACTGCCGATGAAGTATTAAAGCATCCGTGGGTGAAGAATGGCGCACCAGAAACCAAACTGCAAACTCCAGGAAATTTGTTCCGGTTTGTTTTTGCTTTCATATTCCCAAAAGTTCCCAAATTCCGAAGTTTCTGGTCACCTTCTTCGCAAAACGTGAATTTTTTTTCAGCAACGACAGCACTCGTGATGTCCATCAAATGCAAGAGCATTTCAATGTGATGAATCGTTTTGTTGCAGCGCGGCTAAGTGCTCGGTTAGAACAAAGTGAACATGATTCTGGTAAATTTTTGCTATCAAAGAGTTGTGGTTATTTTGAATGCAATGAAAAACGAATGCAGAAAATTAGCATGTTTGGATTGCCAAAATTTAGTTTTTACCTAGTTCTTCCAAGCTCGATGCAGTAACAGTTCAGTTACTCACTAGTTTAAATTGCATTAATTCACTGCAGGTATTTCACATAAAACCATTGATAAGGTTTTTATTTCAAAATGAAAGGCTGAATCTAATATTTTTGTTGAATCCAGTGCATAATCTAAGTTTTTAAATACTAGAGAGCGTGTTTGTAAACTGTGTTATACCTACGTTGTGCTAACAATTTTTTCGTTAGTAATATACATTGTTAAACAAGTACATGGTCGTTTCATGCTGTAGATGAATCAGTCGATGAACAACCAATCTTAAGAAGGTCACCGAAGTACAAAATATTCGAAGATATTAGGGCAGGTAAAAATCCGACGAAGTCAGTGGAGTTGAAGCAGCAGCCATACAATGTAATCACAGCAAAAGTTGAAGCAACATTCCGCGAGCAGTCATCCAGTCCAAATAGTGGTGTGTCAAAAACAGCGAAACAGAATTCTGAAAAACAAAATAATGTTAAAAAATTGGTGTTTCGTAAAGCTCCGAGTTATGGACATAGTGTTATGCAATGTGCCGCGCTAACGATGCCTTTCATGGGAGTCAACAACGTTGGCAGTCAGTATCCCTTACACATGTCGCAGGTATGTCCATTTGTTGTTTGAAACAGATTTTCTTGTAGCAAAAGCCGGAGAACTGTTATTTGATAGTTTCTTGAAGTTGTGTCTTTTTTCGTCTTACATATCAAATTTTCTCGAGATCTAGGTAGTTGTTTATCTGCATAATTTTGCTTCCAAGAACTTGGTTGTTCTTATGCTCTTTGTTCACTTTGAGTTTAGTTATAATTGGACTTAATTTTTTCGATGCGTAAATTTAATTAAAAGCAAAGTAAAGGCAGTTAGGTTTAGGATTCTAAAAAATTTTTTTTTTCAGATATCATTGCCTTCACCATTACAGTACGCAGACGGAGTACCGTTATTACAGACTCCGCATGTTATTCCACCACCACCTTTCCAATCGCCGGGTCAAGTTGTCAACATGAATGGGATGATTCTATATCCACGCATATTGCCGCAACCCATCTATGCTCCACAGCAGTTGTCACCGCAACAAATGGTAAAACTCTCATCTGAATTAGTTTATTAAGCTTAAACTCAAAATCATTATTCATATTCAAGCCGAAGTTTAGACTTCAAAACTAATTATTATGCTTCTTTTCATAATTAATTAGCACGGCTAATTAATATGCTTCATTCTAGTTTTCTGTAAGTTATGGAAACTTGTAAAAAATTTTATAGTTTCATGTCGTTTCTCCGTCGTATGTTGCAAGTACCGCTGTTCGTATGGTACCCTACCAATCACCTTATGGCAACAACAACTTCCATGAGGTAGATAGAAGGCGAAAACCACAATGCAACGGAATGATGCCAAGAGCTCAGCTGCAACAGTCATTGGATGGGCAAGTCCGACGAACGATGGTAACTGTACGTTCTGCTGCAAATCTCTCTAGACCATCTTTCGGCGAAAATCATCCTCCTGAACAACTGGAAACTTGCCAAGGTGCTATGGTCAAGCAGGTACATTTTTGTACTTCTAGAAAAGGAAATGATTGGAGGAATGATTGCGGCTGACGTTAACGGAATGAGAGCTGGGGGGAATCGTCTCCAGCAACTTCTAGGGATTAGAAAAGAGATTCGAAATAGTTGAATTTATTCTCAGATCTTTTAACTGAAATTAAGTTGTTGAATTTGATTCGATGGATTTGAAAAAAAACAATCACATTATTTTACAAAAATTTTCAATATGTATCGTAGAAATTTATCGTAGTATCGTAGAAATTTCAATACTTATTTTTTAGGATTCAAAAACGGACTTGCATCAGTGTCAGGCACGTGAAACTCAGGTTAACGTTTAGTAGAGTAATTGCGGGAATTACTTAATGTCGACTTACAGAACTATTTCTCCAGTTCATCTTAAAAAGTTGGTCGTCAGTTGTAACCCAGATCGATCCAGGAAATTGCACGTTAAGGCCATGAAATCTTGTATCACCATAGCTTCAGAAAACCCACATTTGGATTGAGATGAAAGCACCCAAAGCTAAAGTCGGAGTAAATATTCGTTCCGTTGCATTTCTTGCTGTCCATTCTACATTTTTATTATTTGTATATTTGTCATTTTTTTCTCTGGAATCGCTAGGTTTAATTTTGGTTGTTTCATTTAAACTATACTTGTATAATTATTCGACTTTTCAAAATTCACTTATCTTGTTGAGATGTTTCTTATTTGTGAAAAGATCTAAGAACTGTGGAAATAACTAAAAGAATGTGGCGAAGATAACTGCATGAATCTTGGTGAGCAAATCTTTTTTTAAGTTTTTGCGAAGTAGCCTTGATTTATTGGCTTTTTTATTATAAAGCTCTTTATTCTCTCTTCGAGTATATAAAATGATATTGAATGATATATTTTGTGCATATATTCAATTTATAAATTAGAATTATCAAAACCGATTTTCATGGAAGGAACAGAATGTTACGGAATTATTAATGTATCGAGAGCGTGCGTATAGGGGTCATTTCGAATTTTCCATTATGGTAACATCCATTATTATTACCTTAAAAGTGGCTTTAATACGGTTGAGGGTAATTTTGACTAATCTGGGTTTAACATTTGATTCTCTTTTTCTCGTTTCTTTTTTTCATTACTTTTGTGTGATGCTTGATTTTTGAATGATTTAATGAATTATTTCGATTGTCTATGGCATATTTCTTTGATTTGAAATGGAACATCTTTGAGTTCTAACTTTCTTATAATACAAGAATTATTTTTGTAATCACATTTGCCATTATTTTTTCACCAAACAAAGATTTTCACGGGAAATTATCAACGATGCCATTGAAAAATTCATTTTTTTTTAGTTTAGTTTAAATAATCAAATAGGCGACCAAATTTTATGAAATCAGAGTTTTCCGAAATATCCAGTGAAAATCATTTTTCTTTTGAAATATTAATCTTATGTTTATATATGTCGTAACAAAGTACTCGACTTGAGGGTGGGGTGCCTTCGAACTTGCTTGTACATAATTGTTACATTTCTTTTGTTATTATTTAATTACTGTTAGTGTACATAAACCCAGTAATGTATGAATTGAAAAACATCATTATGTAAATAGTTATGTTTTCGAGAATCATTTGGAACTCTTGATGCTTAAATGTATATTTTCTCATTGAAAACATTATCAGTGCTGTTTTTTTATATTTCTTATTTTTCAACTATTTTCGCTTTGTGACATTGATGGTTCATGAGAGGGACAATCAGGGAATGTACTTTGTCCTGAAACAGTGTATTTTTCGAGACGCCAATGAATATTTTCCGTCGCAATCCTTCTTTGCTCTCTCTCCTTGACATCAAATTAAACTTCATGAACATAGCCACCTCCAGTCAGTTAATACTTTGTTTTTATTTGAAAAGTGTTTTTGTTTGATGAGATGTCTTCTTTAGGTGCTTTAATTTAATCCGTTATGGGTTTATTTGAAGCTCTTCAGTTTGTGGTCTTTTGTGTTCTACTTTGGAACTCAGTTTCCATTTAATAGGCCCGTTTCGATATCATTTTTTGGTCTTTGTTACAAAATTCCACATAATTTCAAATAATTCAGGTTATCTATGTAAAAAAAATTAAATTAATTAAGTATCTGTGCACCAGCAGCATATTTTGGGCCTTTTTCCTTGTCGATTTTAGTACTTTTTCTAAATCTGTGTTCTTTTGATTCCGGTCTTTATGATATAAAACTTTTATTCCTTATATATTTATTTCTAACTATTTAATGTGTTTAATACACTTATTTTTTCTAGGTTGTTAGTAAGTTTGTTTAATTTTTTGGTTTCTTAATTATGAATGGATTTCATTCTTCGGTTCTGTATCTTAAATGTTAAAATTTCATGTGTTTCAAGAATTATAATATATTCATACTAAAGCTCTGAGGATTAGTGAAGAATTTGAAAACCACATCAGTTCATACACATATTGTTAAACAATTTTCGCATTCACTTTTTGGATCGATGTGCATATTTCATTCTTGACTGAGCAGTCTCACTCATTTATAAAATGATGCCAAACAAGAGATATCTCATTAGACCCATTTTGCAACACGTTATATATTCTTGGACTGATTACTGATAAGATAATGACAGTGGTAAAAGCTGTGGAAATAATTTCTATATTCATGTTTGGGGATAAACGTCTACGTTTGCTCATCGTGTGCTCCATATGATTTTCTTTTTTTGTTCCTTCACAACTTAAATATGAAGCGCGTTTTTGATGCATCTTATCTTTTGTTTGAAAAATTAAAAACGTTAGCTTACGCTGGAAATTGGTTGTCTGCTTGTGTTTTTTTTTAGAAAGTGTGAAGTATTTTACCTGAAGCATAAATTAGTGTAGTGTAATTCGAAGAGTTTTGAAAATTTCCTGAAGCCATTTGTGATCAGTGACATTGCATACGGGTTTGGACCAGGTGAGCTGCGAGAGGCGCGCTTTGTTAATGAAAATTACTAACAATAGAAGAATTTAAAGTGAATCTTGAGAAGTGAACCTGTGGTACTATTAGGGATTAGGGATACAAGGAACGATTTCGACTTGAGGAAATCTGAACAGCTTTAATCTTAAGAATCTTAAGCAAGTAGGAATAATGTACGAATAAAGGAGTGGGTTATTCAGTGATTCTGAACAAATGATAGATTAATTTTGGTATAGAAAAGGAAGGAAGAAAGGTCATTTTTCAGACAGTTTCAAGAGAAGGAAAGGATTTTTCATTTTTCTACTACCCAAGGATATTTTTGTATGACCAAAAGAATTCGGCTTGCTTATCTTACTTTCAACCTCTCATCCTCATTTTTAATGAAAAATATGATTGGGTAAATTAGCGCATTTTTTGAGAATATTTGTAATCCAACTTATTCGATCAGTGGAACCTCATAAAGCTACTTAGTGCGCTCATTGCTCCAAAAATTAAATTTTATTTGAAGGAATTAAGCTGTCAAAAGCATGAAATGAAATTTGAAACAATATATGGCATGCAAAAACAAAGCTCTCCTGATCTGTGAAGTATTAACTAAAAATTCCTACAATAATCATCATTGTTTTTCGGATTCGTTTATTGGAGTTATCTACAAATTCTGTTCGAATTTCGACACACGGCAACTGAGCCCTACTAAAGAATTGTTATCATTCGTTTTAACAATTCTTTTTGATTTCACACCTTTATCACATCGATGAATGATTTTTGGCTCTTCTATCTATTATTACATGGAGAAAAAGTCAAACTTGTAAATGATTTCATAAATTAAGACGATATAGCCAAACCGCATATAAATCTATTTGTTGGGCTGTCAAAGGATTTATTTTACTGAATTTGCTATCGAAGTTAAAAAACCATCTGCTTTCGGCTAAAGGACAAACAGCGATGTCACATATGATTGCAATGTTGTCAAGTATATTTTGATGAAAAAACCAATTCGGAATATAAAAAAAAAAAAGAGTATTGATAAGGTTACAATGATATGATGATACGATAGTGATAATAGTTGTAGGAATGAGATACATGCTAATCATCCACTTCTTTTGCTTCCTGCAATCAACAGCCTTTTCCTTGGAGACAGTCCCTTTTCTGCCTTTTCGTTTTGTCATTTTACAGTTAAAAATTTTAAAACAAACGGAAAAAGTAAATAAACAACTCACACAATATATGCATTTGAGATTCGTAGTGATCTCTGGGCATTCCTCGGGCCTACATTTCATCACATTTCCGATAGTTGTACTCTGAGAGAGACAGACAAACAGAGAGAGAGGGAGGGAGAGGGAAAGAGAGAAGAGAAGATGAAATAGAGCAGGGAGAGACATCTTAAAATATTGATTGTTTTCCAACATAGTAGCAGCGACATTTCAATGTCGATTTGGAAGAAAAGTAGGATGAATTTAAGGGTTTGGCAATCCGTCTGTCCATTTAGGAACACTTTCAGTACTGAAATACTGTTGACCTCATTACCTTTGTCTGTACTGTCCTCTCGCCCATTTTTTAGTCATTTCGCTTCAGTCCAAATTACTCGGGCTTTACTCGAGAATGTTCCTATCTGCTTATTGCTATTTGTCCATTCATTTGCGGAGGTAATGCTCTTCAAGCATTTTACAATTACCCTTTATGCCCATTTTTTTAATCACCTTGTTTCAATCTTATTGATTACTTGTTACTCGGATTTTTTCCGAGAACGTTCTTGCCTGCTTGTTGTTACTCGGACTTTTCTCGAGAACGTTCCTGTCTGCTTGTTGTTACTCGGACTTTTCCCGAAAACGTTCTTTCCTGCTTGCTGAGCTTTTCAAACATTTTACAGTTTTATTTTTGAATTTTTTATTTTTTACTAACAGCTAGGAATTATTGATCAAACTGTTTGACCTTGTGTCCTTGCTCGTGTCGACCTCTACTCTTCCCTTCATTCATTTTGGATTTCAATTTATATTTTTTATATATGCATTTGATAAAACATAAATGTTAATTAGAATGTCTGTTGAAGTAAATGATTAAGAACGGTTTTTGAGAATGAATTCATTTCTATCAATCTTCCCGAAAGCAATTTTATAGTGGCGGTATAGAACAATTAATGAAGCAATTTTTTGAATTACTGGTAATATTATTTAAAAAAAATATTTTCGTTGACAATTGTCCAACAATGTGCAGTTTTCATCGTTTTGGGCGCACATATTTAACTATAAGTGTTCCGATATTGTTATCCAATCACTTTGCTTATTTTCTAATCATTTAGCTGAAAGTTAGCTATGCACTATTTTACATTCTAGTAAATTATCGCACTTGGGAATTGTTGACGGTATAATGGTAAACGGGATATGTGGAATAGATCGATTTAGATATTCAGTTTGTTATAAGGGTGGCGGTATTATAGAGGCGCGATAGTCGAACATATGCAATAGAAAAATGCCATTCATTTCTGAATTTTCATTATTTCAATTTTGCTTTTGCTTGAAATGCTATAATTCGATTCATAATTTTCAAAGATTTTAAAATGTTTTTTTTTAATATAACATTAATTAAAATAATTCTTAATTAAATTTATTTTCATTTACTTAAAACTTTTTTCCTTTGTTTTGAAATTTACTTTATAGTATGAAAATTTTGCATTTCTTAATTTATTTGCTAGCTCTCTCTCTCTCTCTCAAATGCAACAAAATGAAGAGTATTATTAATGCAATTCTAGAACGCTCGTTTTACTTTTTTCGGTCTAAAACCTAGATAACTTATTAACAATAAAATTGATCTAAAATTAGACTCAGAAAATGTATTATTAACTATAAAGTAATACTTTATAATTGATAAAGATAGGTATCATCTATATTTTTATAGTTTGAAAATATTCACATTATGATATATAATCGCTATTGAAATTGATCTCTGCTCAGGCAATGGGCCTCATTGCATCGATTTGAAGCACACAGTTTAGTTATTGACAAAATGTTTGTTATACTTATTGCGTTACTTTTCCATTTGCTTGATTAATAGCTTACATTAAGTTAATTCGTAATGCAATAATTATTATGGATGAATGAGTGAAGATTCCGCTGAAATGAGGAATTGCTGAATTTTAAAACTATGAAATGAACTTAAACTTTTTCTTTTACATTTCAATAATTTAGAATGTCTTTTAAAATTACCGCAAGAAAAATGTTTATTTTATGCGTTATCTAAAGTGAAGAAGGTAATGAATTGGAAAACTTTCGGTAAGTAATAGTTAGAATTGTTTAAAGGTATTTTAAAGGTGAAGAGAATTTTCAGATCAATTCTTATTGTATTCTCATAATTGATGCGTCATTTCGTTTGTTTATTTTTTTCATTTATAAAAATTGGTGCATAGTTTAAAAAAATAAATTATTTCAGATTCACAGCACTTTATTTGTTGTACATCTAATGAAAAGAATAAAAAGACGAGAGCAATAACGTGGGCGCTTACATTTAGTGGTGCGCCATCGCCACTTGGCGTTTCCTGTGTCGACGTAATTTTACACATTTTTCATTCAGATATTTTTTTATTATTGTTATATCAGTCAATTCAACACCAAGGAACTAGTAGTTCATCGTTTCTGCCAGTAAGTTATTTATTACTTTATTTTTTTTGCATTTTTCTTTCTTCAAATTTTTAGATAATACCTTCCACGTGGTATTCCTACCAACTTACCACTTAATATTTGCTGAAACTTTTTAGTGCGACATTTTTGTTGTTAATGAAATGTGACAGTAAGCGAAGGACAGACTGATCTGACGTATCGGCATGCTCGGCATATAAGGTTTATATAATGTAGAATTGTTTTCATTAATTTTGCCGAAACAGTGAAATCGAATTTTGTTAAATCTTGTACACTTATAACTGTAACTTGTAATAAATTTGATCCATAAAAAAGAAGTTTGTATTGTAAAATGTGAAATTGTAAGAAGGTATTCTAAAGATTGATGTTTCTTTAGCAAAAAAGGATTTCATCACACTGCTTTCGAGAATAATTTCCTATCATCTCATAAAGAATATAATCCAAAGATGACGATCTATCAGTTGCGTCGTTTACATGTCAATCAAAATTCGCAATCATTGTTACCAGATGATACTGTTCTTTTGTAAGTTTTAATTTTATTGCATTTATATTCAAAGTCATTATAAGTTATAAAATAGAATGTGGAGCAATTTTTATTGCTTCACGTTCTCTTTTAAAGAAATGAAATGAAGCACTGAGTCATTGAAACTATGCCACCGTGCATAACTTAATGGTTTTGACATTATCTCAGATCTCGGATTGCAATGAAGTTAAGAATTTGATATTAGCATTATAGATTCCATTTTATTGACGAATATTAAGATGGATGAAACTAAATCATTGTGATTTATTAATAATTTTAAATCTTATTCATTTCGATGTACATATTAGTTAAATTTAAGATTTATTTCATTTGAGATTTTCAAAAAGGTGCACACTGATCCGTTTGTTATTGCTTTATTTTGTTGTTCGATTTTCTGCTTGTCAGTTATTTATATGAATTTTTTCAGGTACCAAACGACGAAAATTGGAAGGAATCCTGACTTGGTCGACGTTGTCCTAATTTCACAAGTGCACAGGTATTCAAATACTTCAGTTTTGTGAAAAATGCTTTTTTTTCAAATAAGTTACCGGATGGCTTACTCAAGGACTTTTTTCATCCTTCAGAGGCCTAGATTTAGTTCAATCAGTATTGAGCAACTTTATTGATTAGCGAATTACATTTCATTTTTCTGATTCCTATTGTCGATACTGCGCATGGCTTAAAAGTATTGTTGCTAAATATTATTCACGTTTTAGTCTTTTAACATGGACAACAGCGCTTTCATAATATTTGATGTAAGCGGAATTAAGCATTTGCTTTTTAGTACATATGACACACAAATATTTTTCAGTAATATGATCTCAAGAGAACATACGACAATATTTGTAAAAGCAAAACGTGATCGATATGCATGTTTCATAAAAGATCATTCCCTCAATGGCACTTATGTTAATGATTTTAGGGTATGGTGGTTTTTGTAGCTGATAGTAATTTCTTAATAATACTTCGTTCATAATTCTAATCGGTTCGTGTCACTTCGTTTGTTCATCTGAGAAATTTGTAGGTATCAGGTGAAGCTGAGTTACAACAAGGTGATGTAATCAAATTTGGACATGTAAATGGTGCAGCTATTAAGCCCGGTTGCTATGGACCGCAAACTTCCGCCGAATTTACATTTCTTGTATGTTTATTCCATTTTAATTTCAATGAATAAGAGATGATTGTGTTTTTTCTTTTAAAAAGATAATGATTTAAAAATGAGATAAAATTAATGAATATGCCGATTCTTATGATCTCTTCATTCAGAAATTTTTTGCATGTAGAAATAAATATATAATCAGAGTTTCGGAGCTTTTTTCTAATTTAAGTTTGAAGAAGCACCAGCTCATCGATTAAGTGATCGCAGACGTCCTATAACAATTATGGGTAATGCACGACAGGATTTTTCCCAGGTAAGCATTGCCGTTTACTTATTCGTCATTTATTATCTGGAGAAGAAGCAGTAGGAGGAGAGGAGAGATTTTTAGTAAATTTTCCATTGTGCCACTTTAGTTTTTTACTGGAGTATTTTCCGGAATTGGTTTCAGTTTTTTCGCAGAAAATTAATTGCAGATATGTTTCAGGTTTTGCCGTTTAGTATATCGTTTGAATTTTTGATTTTTTATTCTTTACGAGATAGATTCATATAAAAATACTTCATCACGACGTCGGGACAATTTCATGGCTTCAACTAATTGAGGAAAAATATTAGGGCTTGGAAGTTCAGTTTAGATCAGGTTGTCGGTGGAATTATTATCAATGACTTGAATTGATAGATTGGTTTAAAGAGTATATGTGTCCATTCTTTGCATAAGATCAGGTCCTGGATAAATGTATAAATTTCATCAGGAAGTATACTAAAAAATTTTTGAAATTTGTCTAGGTTACTACCACTTCTATGAATAGTATTCCACATTGAAATTTTCTATGTCTGCTTGTGTTGGCGATAACATTTCTACTTACTTTACAGATGTTTGTCGGTGATGGGAGGAACTTGCATGCAGCATCTCGATTACCTTTGGCCAATCCATCCATGGAACTTGCCACTTCATGGCAGAATCCAGCTACTGCTGGTGCCGCAGCAGCGCCGTTCTATAATTTGCAGAGGTTTCCTGGTTATTATCAAGCAGCCTTTCCTCAACTCAGTTCTGCTTATCTACACTCACTCTGGCCTCAAAATCCTTGGCCGTCGCAATCACCCACAGCTGTCCAGCAATTTCAGCACCATCAACTGGAACAGCAGAAACAAGTAGAGGCTGTTGCAGTATGTTTATCTCTTCCAGAATTTAAAGCTCAATGAAGCAAAACCTTAAAAGACATGGATTTTAGTGGCCAAAATATTTTCATATTTTAACCATTCGGATGTTTTTCCAGCAGTGTGGTCAGCTGACTAATCCGGTATGGATGGGTGCAAATGCGCAGATTGCTGTCGACACTTCATCTTTCATGGGAACAGCTGGTGATAATCGACTACGTACTATTATATCGGAGCAAGCATCTTCACCAAGGGTAACTTCGAATATCACAGTTCAAATGGCGGTTACTGCTGCCGTTGCAGGAGCATGCTCTCAACGATCGGCTACCGCAACTGCAGCAGTCACCGACCAATCATCTGGAATTGTTGGCCAAAATATCAGTACGCAAAGCAATCAGTTATTACAGTCTTTAGCGCAGCACACATCAGCTTCACATTCAGCTAGAGGTTTGCCTTCTGCTACAATGTCAGGAAATATTCCGGTTACTCGAAATAGTGGAACAACAACTATACGTCGACATCAATATTCAACTACTTTACGAGCAGCCGATACACAGAAGGTTTCAAGACTAGCGGATTGTTCTCCTGTCCAGGTAATTGCTACTCCATCAGCTATTGATAGTGTGAAACGTATGGAATGTGACAGTTCCGTGCCAAGTCCGCCCAAAACTCAGCAGCAACAACAAACGACAGGAGCCATGTTTGGTGCGGTACCAGCCGGTGTTGTTAGTATCCATCGGACAACGACGACAGCAGTATTATCGCAACCATCAATATCATCAATAACAGCTATTTATGCTCCAGCTCAAGTTCAGGCTCAGGATCCAACCCCAATACTGTCAGCAGCAGCAGTAGCAGCGCTACCAGGCAGTGAACGAAGGTTTAGTAATGATAGAATTTCGAAAACAGTAAGCACCTGTAGTACTTTCACAGTTTCAAATGCTGTATCAACTGCTATGACTGGCATGAATGTGGGCGCAATAACACCAGCACCAGTTGGATCTGTAGCGTCTGCTGCGCTTCCTCAAGTGCCAATGTCATCTACAGCTACCTCGGTTATAACACAAGAAAAACCCATGGAGGAGTTGCAAAGAGGTATATTTCTGATCTGTGCTAATAATCTTTCTTCTAGAAAAAATTTAAAATTTTAAATGTTTTTCCATTTCTCATAATTTAGTCCAATTTAAATTGGATTGGCCGTAATATGTTCAAGGAGCCATATCGTGGATAATGTGGGGTTAATTTTTTTTCTGGACAATTTTTAATTCGATCACATTTTAACTTCTGTACTCAATTCTAGAAAATGCGGAACGAAATAGCCGATTGTCTGGTTTGGAAGAATTAACAGAAGATTTATTAGAAGACTGTGGCCCACCGAGACGTGCGCCTACACCGGCATCCATTTCCTCTGAATTACCTACTGGATCAACGGTGCAACAGGAGCCCCATATTGTTGATGAACCGAAACCATCTGAATCATTGCATTCACCACTTCATCAATCACCAAAAAGTTAGTTCACATTCATCTTCATTTGTTTTTCTGTCATGTTTTTCTTGTTGAGTTTTCTGCCCGAAATCTATAAGGTTATATTATATTTGGGATGAAATAGTCTTGCCTGATGTGATATCACATCATGCATGATCCGACCTTTTGTATTGCCTCGATTTTTGCATGATTTTAATCTTGAATATATAGATAAAATATAAAATTTTCCAAATTTTCTTTCTAATTTTTTCCTATATAAATGTCTATGGCAGAGTAATGTTTACAGGACGCGGGCATGGTCATTCGGATTCGTCATGTTCGCCTACTCAAACACCTATCGTAGTAGGACAAAAAGTTGAGTCGAAGAGACGACGTAAGAATAATGAGGTACTACTTGATTCTGCTATATTTCCATTGATGTGAGTGATGAATTTCTTATATTAGTGTTGTGAATGAAACAGATTTTTGAGCTTTGCAAATGCAAAAGAGTGTTCATGCCGATGACTTATAGCATTGTTTTGAAGTTAAATAGAAAGTTAAGATTATAAATCGGTTGATAACACTTTTATTTTATTATCAAACGTATCCCTTAGCATATTGGATGAAATTGATGTGTGACTTGTAAACTGTAACTGAGACCGAAATAGTGATTTATACCTGTTAAAACTTTTTATGCTCACACAGGATTATATCCAGTTAATTTTTTTATTCAGGTAGCCATGTTGTTGAATGATTTAACTGAAGTGGCATGGAATCATCTTGCAAGAAAGAGTACTAATAAAATTACTGCTCCAACACAAACAAGGTCATTTTTAGTAGCTAATAATAAAAAGTTAGGTTATTCCAATTCATTGGAATTGGAATAATTCTTGTTTTCTTTTTCGATTTTCCTTCAGAAGGAAATATTCCATTCTTCAGGTTTTCATTTATGTTTGTGTACTTAAACATAAAAACTGTTAAATTTTGCCCTTTTCTTGACTTTCTGTAATGGACGTCACAGAAATTATGTCAGAAGTTGATTCAGGGATTCTTAATAACATTGGATGTTTGGAATTTTTTTTTAATAATATTCTGACTTCTGCTTATTCAATTAGACATACTTCACCGATGTTTTATGATTAAAATTGATGTTATGCTTGACCTAATTCTAATACGAATCCACTTGGTACAGTTAGTCTGTTGAGCATAAGAAGTTTAATCTACAGTTGAAGTGTATTAAAATTTGAAATGAAAGTACTTCAAATTGTAGCATTCTTTACCGAAAAAATACTATCAATGGTCTATATCTATTCCATAATAATAGAAAGTACGAAAAAAAAAGATATGTCTCAATTTCAGGAAGGCGTACGTACATGATGAAGATGATGATATTGATGATAGAAGCTCAAAAAGTGATTCAAGTCTCTCAGAAAAGCATGAAGAAAAAAAGCAACAACAGAAGAGTGTTACGAAATCAAAAAATGCTTCACCATCAAAAAGTGGAATTTCTTCCAAAATTAGGGATTCTGATAGAAGTACTGCACGGAAACGTGGTCGTCCGAAGAAAGGTTGCAATACTGCAGAAAATGCAATCACTGCAAATACAAGTAAAAAGAAAGCAGCAGAGAAAAAAAAACGGAAGAAGAGATCTTCTAGCAGTGGTAATATGAGTTCGGATTCTGAAGATGATAAGGAAGAGAGAAAGGAAGATTTGAAGCCGCAAACTCTACCAAAAGAACAGCCAGGTACTTCAGCGGCTGAAAAGATTGAAAGAGCACTTGATATGATGAGGAAGAGACAGACATTACCAGATTCTGATAATGAAAGCAGCAGTTCATCATTTGTCACTTCTTCATCACCTTCTCCGATCCGACGAACATGGGGTGCTACATCACAATGTAAAACTGGACACACACCTGGTGGTAGTGGTATAAGTAAGAAAAAAAGAAGTAAAACGGGCCGTCAATCACGTTCGATGAGTAAGGTACCACATAAGGGAATCGTCACCTCTTCCATAAGTACTCGAAAGAAAGGACGTAGAAAGAAAAAGCGATCGTCATCCAGCGAAAGTGGTAAGTCACAGAGTGGGTGATTTTTTTCTTTTTTTGATTATATGTGTGGATGATTGGTGTGTTTCAGTGGCGTATCCAAATATCCTACTTCCCTCTTCGAACTGCATTGAATTAACAATATTTTAATAACTCAAAAGATTTACCTTCATTTCGGAGTAATGATCTTTTATAGAATAAGAATTCCATTAAATTAAATTGCAGCGTAAATTCGATTGGAGGTGATGTTTTTGAAAATCCGAAAAAGTTGAGCTAGTTGAGAAATTAAGCTAGCTGTTAGAGAGGGGATAAATGAAATTTATCGAACTGGCATTTCGGATAGGATAATGGATATGTCATTGGTGTAAGTGTCACCGGTTATTATATTTTGTTTTCTTTTTTTTTCACATATAAAGAAATAAATAAAACACTTTATATTTGGGTTTTCTTTACTTGTTCAATGCTATTAACCAGGTCAAGCACCAAAATGATTGCTTTTAATTAAATCACCTTTTTTCAAGTCACATTATTTTGTTTTCTTTATCATTCACCACTTTCTTTTGAAATTTGAATCACTGGCTATGTATTTAGGAAGCTTTTGTTTCAAAGTGCTATTCATTTCAATTTATTAAAGAATTAATGTCATATGAAATTGAAATTATTTCCAATGCTTAGTTTGTTCGAAAAATTTACTGAGAGATATTTCTGTGTTGCAGAGTTCGTAAATGTCGTGGCATTCTAATTTTTAGCCATTTTTATCTTAGGAAATATTTTCATATTGCAGAGATATCACTGGAAACAAGCAGTATTGATTGGGAGAAGGTGAAACCAGTGGTTACACCGTTACCATCGGCACATGCGTCAATAGTATTCGATGAATGGACATACCACGATCCAGAAAAACAATGCGACGCCAGGTCAGGTTGCAAAAAACCACAAAGTGAAAGCGTTGTTTGGGTATGTGTTGCTTAGGTTGATTAGCTTATTTTTGTTTGCTAATATTTAATCTTCAATTTATCAAAGTCTTTGATATTTAAAACTATCTTAATTGGGATCAGTAGTTGACCAATATGAAGGATTTAAATTTCTAAAACTGATTGTAATTTAAGTTATGTAGCATTACAATGGTTTAGAAATTTCGGTTACGGTTAAAGATTAGATTTTTTGATAGTTTTAAAAAATTGGTTCAAAAAATTTTGTCACTAATAGTTTTGTTACTCGATAGGCTTTATTGGAATAAGTTAGTAATTAATTTTGAAGATATAATTCTATAGGTACAATGTGATTACTGCTGCCGATGGTACCATATGGAATGTGTAACAGAGCATGGTGTAACAGTTGGTAATTCAGATGATTTCAATTGTGGCTGTAGGGAAGCAAACAAAAGAAATTAAGAGTGTGCAACGATTTTCTTCCTTGTATATTTCGTTACATGCAGCAATTTTTGGCGTTCCTTCGCTTTTCCTTCTCTTTTTTGCATTTTCAGCGATATTTGCAAGGGGTTATTTATCAGAAAGAATATCAAGTTTTTGCTTAGGTTTCGTTTGTTATTTATACAGCTGTATTTGTGTAGTTCATCTTCTGAACATTATGTGGCCTTTGATGGATTATATGATTGTATTATATGAAAATTACATGATTGTAACCTATAATAAGGTTACAATCATGTAATTTTTTATCCAAACTAAAGATTAAAATTTTACAATCCAATGAAAAAAACCAATGAAGAAAAATCGCAGGCGCTTCACTCTTCTTAAGAGAAAAACTGCTGAATCGTTGAAAAAACCTATGAACCAACTTTCTAGGCTTCTTCGAATTTCTGACTTTATAATATCAGTATCAAATTTTTGAAATTGCTCCCTCTCTCTCTCTCTTTTTCTATAAATCAACAAAACATTTAAGATTATCCAAAACAAGAAGAGAAGATATAGTGCTACATTTATCAAATAATACCTAAGAGAAAAAAATCAATCAGGTTTTTATATTGGTGATTCGATGAATATATGTATATATATTCTGTTTATTGCTAATTTTATGATGGTATTACATTTTCAGTTGATTGATATTTTTTGTATATAAATGATGGTGATATTGTTTTATGATTTTACTGTAATTATGAAAAATATCTTAGTTACGGCATTGAATTGTGCCAAACATTAGACGGTCCATTATTTGTTACTGAAACTGTGATAATGCTCAGCTTGACACCTTATATTTTGTGAAATTTTTAAGTTGTTTCTCATAGTATTATGATGATATTTAGAGCATAGTAATTGTCATTTATTAGGATGTTTTGATTGTTAATTCTATAATTCCTGGATTTCTTTAATTATTTCCCATAATGGGAGCATAAGCATTTACTCGCAAAGAGTGCTTATTTTTTTATAATCATACGGCTAAGACTTTGAATTACCATCATCGAAATTAAGAGTGGCAATATCAATAAAAGGAATCAATCACCTTATATTCCAGGAATTTGCTACATTCATACCGTAATTCATTTCTGTATTGGTCTTTTCATAACCTTTTTCCCTATGCATTAATATTGAAAACGGTATGGAAGAATCTATTGGCATTCATATTCCAGGATATTTAGCTCTGACAATACTTACTGCATTTCCGCATTCGTTTCAATGACTTTATTTTGCAAATTGTTTATGTTTTTGTTGTATTGACAAGAGCTTGTATTTATTGTTTTGCTACTCTATGGTAGGCATACGTCATTCCGAAAATTTATCAGGTTACACCTGTTTAAAACTATTGAATATGAATTCATACATGTTTAAGTTCCACCCTCATTTAACTCTAAGTTACACAGTAATGTACTGAGATTATGATGTAATCAACTGTACTTTAATCGATTTGTTATATTGTAAATGATGAAATTGCATAACAGAAAATCTTTTTGGAAGGATTCTAAAATTTTATTCTAAAATTTTTACCTCTCATTCTTCTACTCTGTTTACTTAACTTTCAACAGACGAGGTCAATAGAGATCAGTAAAAATATGAAATTCGTTGTTCTTTGTTGCAGTGTTTCAAATATATTGGCCGGTAACAACTCAGGACAGTACAGTATGATTGTAAAACGATTTAAAATGTTTTAAGCATTATAAGCATTTCGTAGTCGGCGTGATTGTTTTGATCTATTACTACTACTGTTTATTGACGCCAGACTTCTGGAAGAGTGCTATATTGTAGAATGCGGCTTCCAGTAGGGTTCCGTTCTCCCGTCTGTCTTGACTAATTTATATGTTGCGATTTGTAAAGGGTTTAGGTAGTGAAAAACTAGAATTATGAGGTGTTCAATTTAACTGCAACTTGTAACTGTAACTTTGTTGTGGGATGAGAAGTTGAAGAGATAGAGGAAGGTCGCGATATTTCAGTCCAGTTATTTTACTCAGATTTTTCGAATGGGGAAAATTTATATTGCAGATTTTGGGGAAAGACAAATGACGTCAGTTGCTTGGTTTTGTTCATCGTTTGAATCGTCGAGTAATTCCGAGCAAACAGCAACGGACCATAGGGTAATCAAATACGACTGCTTAACAAACAGATGAATCACTTCTATTACCCAACAAACTAGATATTTGCTGGAGATGATAAAGTTATGTACAAGTTATATAAATATGTTATATATATATATATATATATATATATACAGCACGTTTTATTTCAGTTTCAGGAAAAGGCGTATGCTTCACGTAATACAATCATTGATTATGAAGAAATTGAGATGCCTGCCGAAGTAGCATTTTGCAATCCGCATAAAGAGAAATCTACTCATTCTCTAATCGATCGATTTCCGCTTCAAAATGTCGAACAGTTAGCTGTAAATCCGAAAAAGATTGACGAGGTATTGTTTTAGACGTTAGATAAGAGGATATTTACGATCGATTTTGCTTTTATTTAATAATGTTAGAAGGTAATGAAATTTTGATGAGTAATCAGATAAGTGGTGATTAGATTGCACACATGATTATATCAGTCTTTTTGTAAGTTTATAATGTTCTCATCGCCTATGAAAATATCTATTTGTTGGCTTCTTTTTAGCTGAGACGTTGGATGCAAAAGAAAGAAGGACGGTGTCGAGAATGCAAGTTACTTCTGCTCACCGGACCTACCGGTAGTGGTAAAACAATAGCTGTAAAAATGTTATGTCGCGAGCTAAACCTTGAATTAATCGAATGGAATTGTTCCGAATTCTACAATGTATTTTACGATCCGGAAGGAGAGGAAGTTGTTTATGAGGAAAATCAGGCACGTCAAATTTTTTTTAATTGTAAAACTTTCTGCTGATATGTTTGAGGTTTATTTTAGCAGTTTCTGTGAAAAGTATTTATAATGCATATATAGAAAATGTCAAAATATTAAAACATTATTTCGCAATATGAATATATGAAATATCTTGCTTATATCGAAGTGAGCTGTAATTTCATGAGCTTTGCTTGTTTACCATTTTAATTCACTATGGCGCTCAGTTGCTTGAAATATATTATTTGGTGAGTTTGAAATAAAACGAGAATTCTGTCCTGCCTTAATTGTTCTGAAATACTAACAGTTTGTGAAGAGCAGAGATTCCAGATAGTGATTTTCGAAATCTTACTTTTTTAAAAATCTTTATTTGGATTACACAGGAATCCCCAAATTTTATCTCATTTTCTTCAGGTCCGGAAATTTGCCGAATTTTTGAAGTCATCGGATCGTGGATCTCTTGAAAAATCAGTTTTACAGAAAGTTATACTTGTCGAGCAACTTCCGAATATTTTTTATCAGTAATAATTTTTTTAAAAGGATATGCTGAACTATGGAAACAATCCTCGTTTATATCAAAATGTTATATTTTTCACTTACTCACTTTTGGCCGGAGTTACAGTACTTTTTCTAAATAAAATCTAAAATCTAATTTAATTCAGTGTCAAAGCAGAGAGAAATATGACTTTAATTACAAGTATCTTTTTTCTCATTTAAGAAAGCTGATGGAGTGTATTCATTATAATTAACTGCGATATGGGCAAATACATTCGATGTTCTTTATTTGCTTGAAATTGCAGAGATCCATCGATATTACATGCAACACTAAGGAACACCATCAAGAACACGGTTTGTATGTACATATTTATTATGAGTGATGTTGATTCCTGTTGGTATTTAAGCCCAAAACGTATACTGCCTACAAATATTCGCTGTCAGCTAGGCTTTGAGGAATTAGCTTTCAATGCTTCTGCAATCATTTTCTTATCGAAAGCACTACGAAGGATTACTTCTCTGTTGAAAGTTAACGTATCACCGTTACAAATTAAAAGAATTGCCGAGAATTCCAATGGTTGGTATTTAAATGTTGTATTGCAATTATCTTGATTAATGACAGTTATCAGTTGATTTAATTGAATGCAAAATTCAAATATTATTACAGTACTACAGGATCGTAAGCTTGAGTATATTGTTTCTTTTTGCGGGAATTCTTCTGTTTGATTTTTCAGCATAATATCCATTCGTAATCGCAGATAACAATATTTAAGATATCTCACATTTTCAATGCTTCATTTTCAAATTGTGTCATTTTTTCACCCCAGTGATTATTTCCAGATTCTTTCTCATCTCTAATTTATTCCTTCTTGTAGTTAAGCAAAAAAATATGGTTGCAAATAAACGCTTTAAACATCTCCATATTTTACTGCAGGTGACATAAGAACAGCAATTCACAATCTGCAATTGTGTTTCGATGGTAACGGAGGATTTAATGAAACTTGTTATCTTCATTCTTCAACATTAGTTGATCCGTATCATAGTTTGGGAAAGCTTCTC